GAGGGGAGTCAGAAGATAGACTGTAGATTGCAGAAGAAAGGGGGAAAAGAGTCATGCAATGCCAGTAAACCCCGCTAACCACCTCCAATACCACTGACACCCGCCAACCTCCCACTGACCACTATGCAATACCATTGACACCTGCCACCCACCCACTGACCCCTATACAATACCACTGACACCCTCCAACCTCCCATTGACCACTATGCAGCACCAGTGACAACAACACAAGGAGACTCACTTCTGTTCCACGGCATGATGACGTTGTTGGCCTATGACGTCACCACGTTCCCGGAAGTTCCTCCGCTCCCGGCAGACGTGAAATATCGTGATATCCGACTTTGAGCAAACTTCACAGGTCGACAGGTACACTTGAGCACAGCTCTACTCACGACTGTTCCAATCACTGACTCATAGCTGGAGTGAACAACTCTGTAAAATTAGTATCCAATTTCAGAACAATACTATATTCCTCGTAGTTGAAAAAGGGAAATCCTGACTGCCTCAGGAAATAGCCCAAAAATATTTATTCCTATGAATAAAGCACGTTTGGAATATCAAGAGTTTAGCCTGAGATAGGGAAAATTAATGTGGAATGTGTTTGTTCGCGGTCTATACCCTGATGCAGGGTGGTAACGACATTGATGATGATGAATACGTGGGTTTGCCTTGTCTAGGCGCGGCCGTGGTACGAAATACTTCCGAGCTGCTGACAATGTTATGTTCACTGACAGACCCGGCCTGTGTTAGTCCTGGGGTAGGCAATGAGTCGACACTCGGTGACGGTGACAGAGACGGTGATGGTGACGGTGGCGGTGACGGTGACGGTGGTGGGAAGAACAATAGCGAGAGAGTGGGACTGATGTAATTAATCAGAACTTTCGCTCTACGGAGCGTGCAAGTGTGTGCGTGCGCGCGCGCGCGCGTGTGTGTGTGCACGCTGACAACGATTAATGGCGTGTTTCTGATTGTGAAAATTGAACACAAAGGTTAGAGAATACCTAAAAACAACAACAGCAGAAAAAAAAACAGAACAAAAGTAAAAGCGTTCCTTCATCGGAATATTCAACATTCTCCTCTGCTCTGCTTGTTATGCTGACTAAGGACTTGGCGAGTTTTGTTTAAATCTAGGTTTTTTTACGCTCCCATTTACCCATTTTCGATCTTTTAGGAGGCGGACTTCTACCCTGCCCGTCCGGCCAACCCGGGTGGAAAAGGATACAGCATCTCAGCAGAAAGACCCAGAAACTCGATAACAATTATCCCCACACCACACGGTAATCAAACCCTGGTCCACTACGTGCTTTCACGAAGAACCTAAATGCTACACCACAGACGCTGATAAGAATAATGTGTTGTTTTGTTCCGAAAGAGCCTCTGTGTGTTGCAAGTACCGTAAAACTCTTACATAATAACAAAATTAAAAACTAAAAATCGAAAGAGCCTACTGGGTATTTAAAAAATGACTGAAAATTAATGTTTTCTTCTTCTTGCTACAAAAAGTGTGATCAGTGGCCACAGTGATCGTCTTTTTGTGCCTGTGCTGTTCTTCAGAGTACGATTATTATGCATTTGAGAATTGTACGTTGAATGGGCTAATATGCATAAACGTTGATTTAATTATTGTTTAATTAATTAACTCTTATTTTATTGTGAAGTTCCTAGAGCCACCAGGGAGCAGGTGCTATAGAATGGTGTTTATTATATTTGTATTTATTTATTTTTCGACTTGTTTATTTATTTATTTATTCATTCATTTATTCATTTATTGCTCATTTGTTATTTTTTAAAATTTACTTACTTATCATCATCATCATCATCATCAAAGTGTAAGTGCGCTAACATCGATAGTTAGCCCCCTTTTTTTTTTTTACCTCGTCTAAAAATTAAACAACTGAAATAGATAATTAAATCAATAAATAAACATACAAATTAGTAACGTTGAAAAATAGTAAACCGAGTATGTTTAAAAAGAAGTCTGACATTCAAATCTCAATCTAAATCAAACAAACATCATAGATCAAAACCCTGGATTAAAATTAAAGCGATTGTGGGTGAGTAAGTGAGTCACTGATCTTTGACATCTCGCTACCTCAAAATTATAAAATTCTATCTGCTCAATATCTAGTTTTGAGAAATTTGACGTCCAAATTTTTTACTTTCGCAATAAGTCAAGCTATTTCGAATGCAATTCTGTGAATATCTTGATAACGGCTCCGAATATTTTTACGATTTTGATAGAGCAGATAGAACATTTGGTTTCTGAGCTCATGGTTTTTGTAACTCAAAACGGCCAAAACTGGCAGATAGAACTTTGTAATTCTGAGGTAGCGATCTGTCAGATATTTACACGTAAATCTAGTAGAAAAAGATAACTTGTTCTGGCAGTTCTTGTGTTGCAATATGTCGATAAGACGTGGCTATTGGCGGGGTCTTGCTTAAGTGACTTTTAATCCAACTGTCATAAGATCTTTTTACGAGTTTGTTTTTCTTTGGGTTTGTTGTTGGGTTGTTTGTTTGTTTGTTTGTTGTTGGGTTGTTTGTTTGTTTGTTTGTTGTTGGGTTGTTTGTTTGTTTGTTTGTTGTTGGGTTGTTTG